AGCCATTTTGATCACGATTCACCAGGACATGAATAACCCTTGCTAGTCGCACTGCAAGCACTTTGGCAATGATTTTATACACTACGTCCAGGAGACAAATTGGCCTTTTATTTTTTAACTGCTTTTGGTCTCCTTTTTTGGGAATCAGTGTAATTAATCCCCTGCGTTGCGTGACAAATAATAATCCCGTTTCAAATGAATGATTTATATAATCAGTCACCAGATCTCCTAACTCATCCCAAAAGCAATGGAAGAACTCTTTGGTAAATCCGGAAACTGATGGGGCTTTATTTCCTGACATTAAATTTAATGCATTCTTGCATTCTTCCTTTGTCATCATTCCCTCGCATGTTTCTCTATCTAGGTCTGACAGCTGAGGAATACGGTCTGCAAACTCCAGGTTTCTGTTTGCTGTTTTACAGGAGGAGTGCAAATCTTCAAAGTAAGTTTTGCAGGCGTTCAGGATCCTCCTATCCCCCGTCACAGTTGAACCATGTTCATCATCTAACACGTATATTGCTCTCTCGGTCGCTTGCTTTTTGCACAGACGCAAGAAATATTTTGATGGTTTTTCTCCTTTCTCTATCCAATTTGCCTTTGAGAATAGCGTAGCTTTTTTCCCCGCTTCCTCTTTTATCGTTTCTAATTCAGATTTGACTTGTTGATATCTCTGTAACGTATCCTGCCCGCTTGAACCCAATTTTTGTTCCAGATTGGATACTATCTCCTCCAACTCCCTCTCCTTAGCTCGCCTGACCTTCGCAAGCTCTTTTCCTTGTTTAATACAAAGTGCCCTTATATTGCTCAACATTACTTCCAATAGCAATCCCGGGATATTGCAATCCGAATATAGCCCTACTCTATTCTTAGCCTTCCCTATCTCCTCCTTTATTGCCTCCTTTAAGCAGTCACTCTCCAATAAGCTATTATTTAGTTTCCAGAACCCAGGACCTCGTTTACCATTAGCTAACTTCATCTGTAATAGTACGACGCTGTGGTCACTCATGATCCCTGGATCTATTGAACATTTTTCAATTTGTTGCGAGCGGTGGATTCCAGCACTTATTATGAAGTAATCAATTCTCGATTGCTGAAGCGGATTTAGTCGCCTCCACGTAAAGCCTGTATTTTTAGGGTTAAGTTGCCTCCATATATCAAGCAAATCAAATTCCTCCATAATCTCTTTTAGAACTTCTACCGGACGGTGTGTTCTTCTCTGATTTTTGTCAACATCCAACTCACTTAAATGCACATTTAAATCTCCGGCTATAATAAGGTTTGACAAGTCATCTTGGTTATCCAAAACATCCTTTACATTTGAGAAAAACTCAACCTGCGCTGGCGTTGAATGGGTAGGCGCATAAAGACCAACTAATTTAATAACAGTGTTGGCAAGCTTGATTTGTGCGAAAAGAATCCTCCCCTCCTCGAAGCGTGTGCCACAATCTACCCTTTCTAAAGGATTTGTACAGCGCCGGGGCGTGAGAATGCATACACCCCTGGAAATGTTGCTACCATGCGAGAATAGTACCTCGCTGCCCCATTCACTTCTCCAAGTTTGCTCGCAATCAGGGGTAGAATGTGTTTCCTGAAGCACCGCAAAATAATCTGGGTACCTAACATGAATATGTCTGAAAACTGAACGTCTTTTCTTTCTCTCTCGTAATCCCCTTACGTTCCAACATATTATTCCGAATGTAGACACTTAGAGCAAATGTGTGGGTAACTCTAGAGGCAGAGTAGAACGGAAAACACGTTTCCGTCGATATCGACTCAACATGATAATGATACAGCACGGTTTACTGCTATTTAACGATGGAGCGTCAAGTAAACAAATATTGAACTTCCTGTCATACTGGCACACTAAACATAACCACACATACACTGTATGAAACTCAAACAAAACAACACATTCACACAAGAAAACACGTACACACATGACCTAGACATAGCCATGGGCACACGGCACCATAATGTTAAAGACCACATTTGTCTCAAACAATGAATCAGCCGTTTGAATGAATCAATGAGACACTTACTCACCCACCGTGAGTTCTGATCGGCAAATCATACCTACACCGACAAGAGCCGACAAAGAAAACATCCCCCTCCCTCCCGCCAAGTAAAGCAAAATCAAATAAAGGATCTGCCACGACACGGGCAATCTCACCATCCGTAGGCTTATAAAACAGCTCTACGCCCGTTTCAAATGACCCCGATGCGAGGGTCAATTGAACCAGCCCATGGGGTCAATTGCACCTATCCTTGACAATGGGATGTTTTCCTCTTTAAGGCCACTTTCTTAAGGAGATATTTTGTCCGGTTTACTTTTCCAAATGCTACATTCAATAGGTCGTTGGAAAGCTAAAAGTGCAAAGTTCCTCATAATAGGTGACATAAAGTACATAGACTATGGTAAAATGGGCGGATGAGAAAAATGAGAAATATCTCAGGCTATAGTGTGCTTTCAAGCAAAAGGCTGGAGAAAAGGGGGTCAAAAATTGAGCTCTATTAAACTACTATTTCAGTTTAAAAGCTCATTTCAAAGGTGGACTATTTACTTTAATGTTTACAGCCCCTGAACAATAACCATTGCAAAGGTCACCGGGGTCCATTGAAACGGCCTGTGGCCCTGTTTCAACTGACCCTCAGAGAAGCGTTTCAATTGACCCCATCCGCTCCCGCCATCTCGCACGCGCCGTAAAGCACATGTCAAACGAGCTGGAGGGACGACATCATGCTGAATGAAGGGCCAAATAAGGTGTTATTCCGGAGCCAGGAGTTCTTCTTTCAGCAAACAAAGGTATATGAGATATCACAAATTATTACATGGCTCCTTTGTTAATTTGGCATGAGATATTTTTTACTATTGCCCGGCATCAGGTTACTGACCTTTCAGTGTCAGGTTACTGACCTTTCTGAAGGTGAGAAGCGGTTGCCATGTCAACGGTCAATAGTAAGTTGCTCGCGCAGTGGTGTTTGAACAAAAATTCAAATGTCGTAATTTTATCGTCGTTTTCTCAGACTGTTCAGTTTGATTTCGTGGTTGGCTAGTCAAGTCATCAAGAACTGGGCCGTCATTTGAACATGTCCGTTCAAATACCCCGATTTAACTTGTTGGAGCCGCATGAATTGGATGAGCTATTTTCATCGCGCAGGGCTCAGGGCACTAAAAAGGTGATTAAATCAGCAGAAGACGTCTTCATTGAGTTCTTGCAAGTAAAAGGCATATCTGTTGAAAGCTGCATGCACAGCAACGATGTCCTGGACAAGGCTGTGAAGGAGTTCTTCATTACTGTAAAACGCAAGGACGATGAACGCTACAAATCGAAGAGTCTCCTCAAGTACGGCGTGAAACAGTGGAGCCTCAGACCGGCGGCGGCCAGCTCTTCACAGGCTGCATCTTCAACTTAAACATGTAAAGCAACTAAGTGTGTGCCGTAGACATGTGACGTGGCTATGATTGTATATCCAATACATTCAATTGTACCATGATATTTGTGTTTGGATATTTTTTATTACGGGATGAATGAGTACTAAGTAAAGATTCCGAGAGTTGGCCATGTAATAAAACGAATACTGCATGCGGGAGCGGGCAATAGCAAAAATATTGCCCTCTGTAACGTCACTGTCGCCCTCGGGTGAAGACCTCCACAAGTGCTATTGCCCTCGGCTTCGCCTCGGGCAATAGCACTTGTTTCGGTCTTCACCCTCGGGCGACAGTGACGTCACATCGGGCAATATTTTTTGCTATTGCCCGCTCCCCCATGCAGTATTCGTATAATATTCATAAGAACGATTTCTCCCAAACGCCCCTCAAAAACACAAAAACAAGTGTCAAATCAAAATTACCGTCCGTTTGCCGCCCAAACGCCGTTGACAAAGGAAGTGGTCGAGCGCGGATGCGCAGTGGTGTCGGCAACGCCATATGTTGCATACTGTTGAAAATAAAGCCATGTTTCATCTGACCCCGTGTTTCAACTGGCCCCGCTCTCCCCTACATGTCAGAGAAGTGGTCTATGTGCACCTACATACCAATTTTTAGAAGAATCGGTTAAAAAATGTGGGCGTTATTTAAAATTTTATGACGTCACGACACACACATTTTTTGAAAACTGATTTTTTTGGAAGTTCTAGATCTCGTACGGAAACAAAATTAGCACCATTCGATTCACCGTGAAAAACTGCATCAGATAGACACCTTTTTAGGCCTTAACAACCAACTTCAAAACTTGACCTTACTTGACCTGACCTTGACCTGACCTCGACCTGAAATTCATCCAGAGGTGGTCCATATCGCTGATTGAGTGTGCCTATTGAATTCTATGAATAAAATGACCCATAAAACATGTGTCGCACATGCCCTTTGTATATTTTGTTTTTGGTGACCTGACCTGACCTGACCTGACCCTGACCTTGACCTTTGAACGATATTGTATGCAACGAATATTGTCTTGGTAGCCTAAGAACACGTTTTGGGCAATCAGTCTCAGTCCATTCTTCGGCAACTACGGTGCAAGGCCGATACTGTAGAAACTTGCATTTTGCACCCTTGACCTGACCTTGACCTGACCTCTGACATACTTAAGCAAAAAATGGGCTCTTAAGATCCGCCTCGTTGAGAGCTTTCGATTGCCGTTTTCCCCGTCTTTTTACGACCATCGGTTCGGATTTCGGAAGTTAGACAGTGTGTGGGGGGGGGGGGGTGGCAGAATCTGCCCCCCCCCCCCAGCAGGGCGCGTATGGCTGAGTAGCCCTGCGGGGCGCGGGATAGGTATTGAATATTCCCTTTAATTAGGTCTGTTATCGTGACCTGGTGACCTGACCGTGAAGGACCTAGATCTGACATTTTCGAATCATGTGCACAAATTGTGCATTATAAGGCCTGTGCAAAAACGCAACCTTTTTTTAAATATTTGCGATAAATCTCATGGGAAGCGTAACACGACCCCTCCGCAACAGCGCTGGTTAATTAACCTGACAGTTCGGCACATTCGACATTAACTGACAAGTTGTATTGATAATATATAAGCTGAGGACCTGAGAAGCAACGCAACTTAACTATAATACGCAGCAGACTAGACGCAACACACAGCATACCATTACCTACGTTAGCACACATCGTGATGCATTCCATATTCACAAATGCCTACACATGGTATAATAATTAACAGTAGAGATAATATAATCTTAAAATCCACTCAGGCACATACAATATTCACGATTAATGACGCAGATATTTTGAGCTACGAAATAGTTTCATAGCCACTTCACAGCAAACATGCATTCAGCCTATAGAAAGCTTCAAGTTTTAACTTGACCTGTCTAACAATTAGGTAAATAACACTGAAGAAACACCAGCACCGTTTTAACCATCCAATAGACACATACTTTTTTGAGCGTCATGAGTCACCTTTAAATCACACACAAACAAATATGACCATAATTTAGCACGACTGTTTTTGATTCATTCCGCGGAGAGCAGATGCCACCGACAGATTTGTACACCCTGGGCGTCGCGGGCGTCCGCCCAGTGGCGGTGCTCTTCACTGCTGGTGCTGCTGTGGCCCAGCCCGAACCATCCAATCAGGTCCCGCTTGCGCATTGTCCGCTTGTTGTAGACACTTACTATAAGCGAGACATCCGAAAACTGAAACAGCGGCAGCTGCAAGAAAGGCGCTTCTGTTGTCACTCTGGCATCTTATAGACATAATCATTTTAGCAAAATGTTGCAGCTTTCTACTCTTTCTAGCCACTCTTTCCACTCTTTCCAGTGACGTCACTGGCTCACCTGGAACATCAGAGTCTCTCTGAAGAGCGGGTTGATCTGTGCCCTGCGTACGGATGTTTTCCCACTGGCCAGTTCGCTGCCGCTGCTGCTCACCAGAAGTAAGCGAACATAGGTGTCGGGCGCACGGCTGCCAGAGTTTGACCTGCGAGCGGTCAGCCGGCACCGTCAGAACGGGTCAACGGCAGAGGTTATTACTGGTCATGCTGTTGATGTTCATAAACAAAGGCTACAAGTATGTCGACTTTCTTAGGACTTAAGTAGGCGAAGCTAAAAAGAAGAAAAAAAAAACACAAACAGACTAACACAGTCGCAAACAGATCACATATTTAGTGGGCTTTATGATTTAGGTAATTCAATTTCCAGGTCAGCAATACAGTGTCATCTTAAGGAACGCATCAAAAATAATAAGGTAAAAACGAAAAGAAGGCAAGCAGCAAGGCTGGCACCCCGACCGCATCGTGAGACCTCCCACCTGAAGTGGGATCCTTTGACGACCTCTGCGGCGAGTCGGCCCGTGGTGCGGCTGTACTGCAGACCCAGCAGCAGGCCGGGAGCGCCCCAGCGCGGCAGGGTGCGAGCGCTGCCGGCACTGGTCACCACTGGACTGGCGGCGCCGCTACCGCGCCCCACCGCCCGCTGGAAACACCAGAGAGTGGGCTCAGTGCACACTGTCGGCCGATGGTGAATCGGTGATAGAGGCCGACTGACTTCAGCCGGAAGCTCCTACTCTACTAACTTTTCACGAAAACGGACAGTCCTACTCGCAATACAGATGCAGGCTTGTGGCCCGGCTGTTACATTTAAGGCGGTACGGGAGCAATAACAATACGAGTAGGTATATCATTGTTTCATGAGAATAAGACATAGATACACTGGTGGCACAGGAGCCAGAGCATGTCCTTTTATAACCCTATCTTAGACGTGAAAGGCAGCTCATGGAGAGAAATGAAACATTTCGTCGGCTATCACTGACCCTTTTCAGCCCACTCACACCTGTATGAATTTGCACGTTCCATGTTCATTATAATTCAGATTACATGCATAAAATAGTGCAGTGCCACACACCCCACACACCCAGACTCAAACGTAAGCCGCGTTTGGTGCTCCGTTTTAACTCCGTTTTAACTCCGTTCTGATCAGCTCAGAGAGGCTTGCAGCCCGAGTCAGCTCCATTCTTCTTACCCCGCTGTTGACGTGCGGCCTCAGAGAGAGCCAGATCGAGGTATGGCGCTGCAGTCTCTCCGGGGTGCAGGGCAGAACGGCCTCGCCCAGAGTCTGGTGCCGCCGCAGACGGTCACTGGCCAGGAGTCGCAGCCGCACCGCCGACTCCCGCAGGGCCTCTGTCGGGACGGGTGATTGCATGGGTCAACTCTGCTGAATGCATGCTGAATATATGTAAAAAGACGTCAAAGTTTGACCAAATGCATGTGGACGATGACCCCGCATGCCTCACAGACAGCTAAGCGGGGGCCGTGTGTGTGACGCTGACAATTTATAAACAAAATAACACATCGATTTAACCATACATTGCGCCCGCAAATGAATGTAAGGCAAAACTGAAGAATAAAAGTACGAATGAAGTCGTGTCGAAAGGACTCAGAGATATAGGTGATCACATAATTTGTTTGAAATGTGATAGAGCCTTAAGATAGAATGTTGTAAGTAATGGATAATAAAGCGGAAAAATTAATATACCTGGCTGTATGTTGTGAAAGACGAAGGTCTGGTTGAAGCGAGGGTTATCGCCATACTGCAGTTTGCTCAGGAATATCTGTTTCTTCTCCGGTAGCAGGGCTAGCTCCACCTGAGGCGTTCAAACGGCGGTGAGGCGAGGGTCTTTCCCTCTCGCAACACATCCAAACATGGTAACTGCTAGGTACTCGCTGAAGGATGTTTTTTAATGATTGAGTAAAGAACAAATTAAATAATAAAATTTAGCATGGATTTACATGCATATAGAAAAGTTTGGCAAAAAAGATGACATTCATATCCAGTGTTGTTTTTAAAAAGCATCTGAAATCAATCGGATTAAAATCTTAGAAGTATGCCCTAAAAACAATTAAAAATGACCCTAACCTCCTAGTGATTCGCCGTACCTGTGTGTAGCTCTGGCTCTCTCGCCTGCTCAGCACGCCTCTGGCCTGCACCACCCTGACAGTGAGCTTTTTGTTGAGCCGGTCGTACGCCCCGGCGACCTCCAACTGACCACTGCTCCAGCGTTCATCGTTACTGACTGAATCCACGTGCAGCAGATGACCCTGTCACAGCGTGATGTGGGGAGCGATTGGTGCAATATCGCGGTGAATGGATCCGATTGCGTGTAGATGGTTCGATTACATATGCCGCTTTTTTAGCTTTGTGGTTTAGATGTAAGCATATTTTTCATACAATACAGCACGTTAGATGCCTATAGGTGAATGCATATGACAATTATCTTTAAAGCCTCAGTCTCAATTTAAATATGCCTGCTAAAAAATGCAATGAATATTTATAGTAAAAACGCAACACAGTTTCCCAATGCATGGTCATACATTTTTTTTTGTGGGATTTTGAAGAACGAAAAATCGCCATCCGAAGGGCGCGGTCGGTCGGTAGCCAGCGGAGACGGCTGCGGCAGCTCACCGACACGCACGTGCAGCTCACCGACACTCACGTGCAGCTCACCGACACTCACATTGGTGGAGAGAGACGGCGCCGAGCTGGAGCTGCCCAGTGACGTCACGTCGATGCCAGAACGCCACGCCCGCAGCGGCGGCTGGAACGCCCGCCTCTCCAGCGCCTGTATCAGAAGCGAGCGGCTGTTACAGAGATGAGCCAGTCGCAATGAACTGCGAGGAGCGTCAATGAGTCAAACATTCTAACCTTTCGGTGATCATAGCTCGGTCAGCGGCCACCAGAGCAGAAATCGAGCCCCTCCGATATCGGCGCTATCTGCCCAAATGGTGGCCGTTTGCGCTGTTTGATAACAAATATTTTAGGACCGGAGAGTAGCCCTTGCACACTACTTGGTGACAGAATCAACCCATTGTTTTCCTTCAAGGGGGCCTTAGACGCAACCTCCATTACATAACTGGATTATATGCGTGCTTATTCAAACGCGGTGTAGTTTCTCACCTTCAGTAGTTTCCACTCCAAGTTGAAGAGTGACCTGGATCGTGTTCTATGCTTGTGTACGGGCGGAGACCGGGGCCGTTTGCGCCGTACGGGTCGGTACGGGTCGTACGGGTCGTAACCGCAGAGACTGGGACGAGCCTGACGGGTCGCCGCCGGCGCTGGCGAATTTGCATCAACACTGGCGGCTTTACTTGACTGTAGTATAGAAACAGACATGTGTCGATACAATGCGTAAAGGTAAATGCATATAAACTACACCTTTTGTCAGTTCTTTTCGGTACGTACTCGTCCGTTTTAGAACAGACGGATTCTTCGGATACCGCAAAGCTATGCATCAGTAGGTAAGGCATTGCATGGCGGCCGCGGTGATCGGCATTAGCCATTTTCACGACGGGCTATCTCATCTGGCGAATGCACCTAATTCTCACCAAATCTACACCTAATCTCTTTGATGACAAATACCTTCATATAATTAATTTATTTCACGGCTTTAATCCATGATAAGAACCCGGTTTACATAGCATATTTGACGAGGCTCTAGCTCGTTAATTTGGCGATAATTTCGATGCAGTGTTCTTCAAATATTTAGAGGGGATTATTTTGTAAATTGTTATGCACCATTGGCATCTTTTGCAACATCACGGACGGAGATATAAGCTTGCAACAAACCCTATGTAAACAGGGTTAAGGTCTGATGATATGACAAGCAAGTATATACCTAAGCAATTAGTGCAACTCTAGCTGATAGAACCTGATTTGAACCAAATCCTCACCAAATGTGCACCTAATCTACACAAAATGTGTACCAAATTAAGGAAATATATCGCTTTTAACATGTCTTATTGTCTCAACTTCTGCAATGTGCACATTGCAGAAAGAATGCATGCATGCTTCAGCCCTCTCCGTTATGGCCGAGTATTCCATTGGCATTCGCCAGTGGCTAGCATGGTTTCATGTTCATGCTTTCTGTGGGTTAAACAAAACGTCACAATGTATTAACTTTTATCAAATACATAGGTACTGCAGATGTAGCTTCTTAAAACCAAGACGGTGGAGAACAAAATCAGACCGACAGGGTACATACGTGACTATTGAACTTCGACCTCTCGCCAGTGCGTTAGATACGCCCGGCGTCGTCGCGTGGTTGTTCAAAGGATGCGCCGAGCACCGGATGGACAGTCGGAGCCTGTTTGATGTGTGTGTGTGGGGGGTAGGGGGGGGGTAGGCAAGAAAGAGACATGCCGCCTAGATGACACATCCGCCGCAACTACGAGCCTTATCGTTTATGGACGGGCTAGAATGTCGGCGCTAGGTCTTATGACGGTGTTACTGTTTGTTAGGATGCGTGAGGACTGAGAGGTGTGGTGATACGATACGGATGGCACGCTGAATTCATTTCCATGTCCCCTTGCACATAGAACGAGGGGATCTTTCACGCTGGCAGTTCGGGAAGTGCAACAATAATCGTGTACAGTGGAACAGCGGGGGGACTCATTCTGGTATGATTGTGATAGAACTGTATCAGGTCTGATTGACGACGATGATGACTTGCTTTCAAGGTGTAGTAAAATGACACCTTTTGGTGAAATAATTAATGTTTTGGGCAAAATATCGGCACACAGTGACAACAGCACAGACGTGCTTCATTGAAAGAAAATTGGGTTTACCTCGAGTCGATGAACACAATGGAGTTTATTTTGACGATAGTCGTCCGCTATGTGCAGGGCTGCGGAGTCGGAGTCGGAGTCGGAGTCGGAGTCGGTCGGAGTCGACAGTTGTGACCGGAGTCGGAGTCGGAGTCGGAGTCGATTTTAGAAACCCGAGCCGGAGTCGGAGTCGGAGTCACCGAAAATCTGTCGACTCCGCAGCCCTGCTAGGTCTGCGGAGTCGGAGTCGGGAGTTGGAGTCGGTCGGAGTCGACAATTCTGCCCGGAGTCGGAGTCGGAGTCGGAGCTGGTTTTTGAAAGCCGGAGTCAGAGTCGGAGTCGGAGTCGCCGAAAATCCATCGACTCCGCAGCCCTGGCTATGTGTGGGCAGGAGCTGTGACTGCAATATTGTAAAAGCGAAAACAGCCCATTGATATTATCATTTTTAGGATAAATAGTTAGTACCTACCAACACTGAACACAGGAACTCTTATCAACTTTCATATCGGCATTCGAAAAGGGAAACAGCGAAACGGCCTCATTACCTGGTTTACATAATGCTGCGGTATGTTTCGTACATTTCGTTAGCTCTAAAACGGACGATTTCCCACCGAATCTAACTGACAAAAGGCGTAGAAACTGTCTATAAAGCTGTCAACTGTCTGGTCAACTGAATTGCTGGACAGACTCACATGCCTACTCCAAAGCCCGCATGTGCCAGGAATGTCTTCTGGCACTGACTACCAGTGCCATCTAGTGACAAGATGAACATTCTGAGCCGTTACGTGCTCGGCGGCGCAGTCTACCTTCAGGCGCTGATTACTAGTGACATCTAGTGGCAGGATTTGAAGTATACCTACTCCGAACGGCCTATGCCAGGCGGCGCAGTCTGCCTTCAGGCGTTGATTAATGCTGACATCTAGCGACAAGCTTTTAAGTAGACTCCGATCGTACTGTGCTAGGCGGCACAGCATATGTACACATGGGCGTAGGAACGGCTGGAACATTGTGGGTGCATGGGTGCAGAAATCCAGCCATGGCCGGTGAAGCGGGGGGGGGGGGGGCGACACCCGAGCGAAGGCTCGTTACGAGCTTTGAGGGTGTACCATGTCGAAAAGGTACCAACCGATGAGTGCATTTGAAAGCATTGACCCTCGCATGTGTAGGGGGTCGGATGAACCCCCCCCCCCGTTGGTTGTTCGCAAATAACTCGCGCAAAAAGCGGCCGATCGCGACGAAACTTTTAGTACCCTCGAGTTGATCAGTTTTACACCTACTCTAAAAATTTCATGACCCTGACCCAAAAGACCTTTGACCTGTGACCTGATTCTCGAGACCATGTTCGGCCGGAATCGCGATTTGGCGTATGTCAGCTCACATTATCCGCGCGTTTCCAGTCTTTTTGTGATTGTAGACGTCCAAACATGTGAAATGATGTTCTTCCCATGCATCACGGTGGGTGTGAAGATAACCTGAAGGTCAGGTCAGGTCATTGACCTTTGATGACCACGGTTCACTTTTTCGAGTTTTACATGTTTCTAGGGTAGTTTATAGGGCTGATTTCGAATTTAGCATCCATTTGAACGTTTACGAAGTAGTTTTAGTGCTTTCGTGACATGCTACGACGCCGTCAGTGGTAGTTGACACCTAGGTACTATGGATAGCCGGTAGGACGCCTAATGGTTGACCTGACCTGACCTGACCCGATCTGGCCTAAATGCATGAAGAAATCATCTGTGATCAAAACTAACATCAGATATTTGTGATCAGCACCCCGAAAAACCCGATAACAGCTTCACTTTACGCAGTTCTAGCAGGTCCCGATTTTCCCGACTTTTGGAATATTGACCTGACCTGGAAGGTCAACCAATGAAGTAGGACCTTAAAATTGGGTATCATCGGCTTCCTCTCGTCACGGGCAACACCCTCGTTTTTTCCGCGAAGCTCTAGCTCGATCAGGGGCCGAACAGCAGGGGGTCCGACCGACCCCCCTCCCCCTCCCCCTACACATTAGAAGCTGGAAAACGCTGCACACATTCGAGGGCTAATGCAGGGTGGCGCCGATAAATGAAGACAATATGTGCTCCACACAAAACATCAATTTTTTTGGCAAAAGTCAGTACTTTGAATGAAAGTTTGGAGCTGGGGTGACTGATGGCGACCTGTCGAGCACATTTCACTCGATGAATCCCCCTCCGCGTCGATGACGGCCTCGATGCGCGGCCTGAACCGGGCGCGGGCCTTGGTCAGCATGGTTTTGTCCATCTTGACCATCATCTGCTTGATGGCTGACTTCAGAGAGTCAATATTGTTGTGTGGGTGTTTGTGTTCCTCTCGACTACGCCCCAGACGTTTTAGTCGAGCGGGTTCAGGTCCGGGGATTTTGGCGGCCAGAACTCGGGCGTGATGTGGCTGTGCAGGTTGGCGCTCATCCACTCCTGCGTCAACCTGGCCTTGTGGGCGGTTACAGAGTCTTGTTGGAACACATAGGGCCTTCCTCAGCCACTCGGTCGATCCAGGGCTTCACGACGTCACCGCCATCGACGGTGACGTCGACGTCGGGTCATCGTCGACGACGTTCTCGACTTTGGCAATGAAATCGTCGTCTCTGACGGCATCAGATCGTCGGGGATGTTTCTTCCGCTTTGCCACAGACGGGACGTCGCCCACAGACTCATCCAAGCTCCGCTTGACTTTATAATCATGGCTTCTGTCGACCTTGAGGAAGTTGGCGACCTCGGATGCCTAGCTGCCGGCGTGAAGCGCCACAATGACCGCGTGCCTTTTCATTTCTTCCGTTATTATCTTCAGCTGCAACGTTTCCTTTTGCTATGGACAACAATTTACATAAAGCATGGAACATGAATGCAAAAAAAATTATTGCTCTTCACAAAACAGTTTCCTCGTAACACAGGTTTGACATTTGTGGTTATTTACCGGCGCCACCCTGTATTGTCAATACTGACTACCGCAAAAAGTAAAAGCGGCCAACTTAGCCATTTTCGAAGATATCGGGCTAAAATTTTTGACAGTGGGTCATCGGTTCGGTATGTGTTCAATCACATGCTCCATTTCCTTTTTTCAGCACAAATGTAAGTTTTGAAGACCATCACTGATCACAGTAGCAAATGCTTCGAAAGATGGATAGTAGGCAACATATCCTGAATTTGCCGTGCTGCATGGGAAGTAGTGTTGATGAAAAAGGGGTTTTTGGTTCAGATTATTGTGGGTGCAGAATACATTGTCTGCACCCACTGGATAAATATTGTGGGTGCAGCTGCACCCTTGCACCCATGGTTCCTACGCTTATGTCTGACGGCATCATGTCGTCGGGGATGTTTCTTCCGCTTTGCCACAGACAGGACGTCGCCCACAGACTCATCCAAGCTCCGCTTGACTTTATAATCATGGCTTCTGTCGACCTTGAGGAAGTTGGCGACCTCGGATGCCTAGCTGCCGGCGTGAAGCGCCACAATGACCGCGTGCCTTTTCATTTCTTCCGTTATTATCTTCAGCTGCAACGTTTCCTTTTGCTATGGACAACAATTTACATAAAGCATGGAACATGAATGCAAAAAAAATTATTGCTCTTCACAAAACAGTTTCCTCGTAACACAGGTTTGACATTTGTGGTTATTTACCGGCGCCACCCTGTATTGTCAATACTGACTACCGCAAAAAGTAAAAGCGGCCAACTTAGCCATTTTCGAAGATATCGGGCTAAAATTTTTGACAGTGGGTCATCGGTTCGGTATGTGTTCAATCACATGCTCCATTTCCTTTTTTCAGCACAAATGTAAGTTTTGAAGACCATCACTGATCACAGTAGCAAATGCTTCGAAAGATGGATAGTAGGCAACATATCCTGAATTTGCCGTGCTGCATGGGAAGTAGTGTTGATGAAAAAGGGGTTTTTGGTTCAGATTATTGTGGGTGCAGAATACATTGTCTGCACCCACTGGATAAATATTGTGGGTGCAGCTGCACCCTTGCACCCATGGTTCCTACGCTTATGTATGTACATTCAGGCACATTCATATTATCAGAGAGCATCATCGGTTAAAACACTAAAATAAATTCATAAAATAAAGATATTTGCTGTAAAAGAGATTAGGTGCAGATTTGGTCAAATAAGGTGCACTCGCCGGATAGCCCGTCGTGAAAACGGCTATTGCTGAGCATTGGGTGATCTCATTGTGTCTTCAACAAACAAAGCAACAAAACAATAAAAAAGCAGTGCTGTACTTACGCCGTCCTCTGGTTCTTTGATTAGAATGGAGGGTAGACTTTTGGTCAGCTTCAACGGCAGAATATGACGTTTCGGTCGTTTAGAAACCTCTGCAGAAGGCTGAGCGACGGCCGGTGGGGAGGGCTCCGACCTCTCAGACTCTCGTGGCTGGGATAAAACTCGCGAGGGTGGAGATCGCTCCGGCGACGAATCCGGCGACAGCTTTGATGACGGCTCCGATGACGGTTTTGATGACGGTTCCGGTGACGCCTCCGATGACGGTGGCCTCCACTGACGGAGGCCGGCGGGTCCGTCCAGTGTTTGCAGCGGGAAGATGAGCAGGTGCGAGTAGCGGAAATACTGGCCCGGTCGGCCGGCCGGTGTTGGTTCCGTGTCGCTGGCCGCCGCCAGACAGGGCGAGCTGGCTGCCGGGGACGGCGCGCCGCGTCGGCCCAGCGCCGCCGGAGCGCTCTCCACGGAAGACTGCGGCGTGGCCGGCAGCCAGCGGCGCCGGCGGACGGCGGCGGCGTGAGGCACCGGGGGTAGAAGGCGGCGCGTCTGCCGCGGCTGTAGATCCTCCTCAGTCATCTCCGGGCACGGCGGCCGCGGCGGGGGACCCTCCTCGCTCGCCTCTGGCCCAGATAGCGGCTCGTAGCGGCCCGCGCTAAGACCACCGTCTGCATTTGAGTTCAGCGAAGCCTGTCTGAGCTGCACGCTCACTGTTTGAGTCGCGGGCACAGTAGAGTCCACAGGCGTCCCGTTCTCTGGCGAGGGAGGCCGCAGCCGGATGGAGCAGTGTGGTCGCGGGGATGCGGCTGGAGACGGCGGTCCCGGCACGGCCGATTGTCGGCACAGCGTTTGTCGGCGCACCACGATCGGCCGTCGACACTTGGGCACGTTCTGAACGGTGTAGGTGAGTCGGTGCACGGGACGTTCGGCGCCACCAGACGAGGGGTAGACGCTGGGCGCTGAGTCGTATCGGCCATCGAGGCAGACCCGATCCACCCGATCCTGTCGCGGCAAAACTGCAGATGTGAGCGCGTCCTCAGCAAAAACATTTTATCCAAAAAATAACTGCATTGCAAATATTATTGCATGAATTTCAAAGACCACATAATTTTTAAGGCTAAAATTGAAAATAATGGCTCATTATCTATGAAACTAAAAAACGTATTCTAAACGTGATTTTCATATTCTACAAAATACCATTACATCATTGTTGGATGATGAGCCCCCTCCCCTGCTCCTCCCTTCATCACTAATTGCCCGGGCCTGTGGGACAGTTAGACTCACAGGTGATTGGTACGTCTGTCGCGTGGACTCCGGTCCGCTTGGACAGCGAATGCGAGACCCGACCGACCTCTGGGGATGGCATGGCCGCTGGCCGTCCTCACTAGAGCTTCCCGACGACCAGTCAAATAACAGTGAGACGGCGGTTCGAGGTCCAAAATCTGCCGATAAAGGCAGCAGGGAAACCGGTGTTAGACCATAAGCAGGCCTCAGGTTTAAGCATATGGTGGGGCTCATCGGGGGTATAAAGATGGTGAAAAAGGGAGGCGACAGATGAAAACAGAGCGAAACGGCTTACACCCGAAACAAAATAGAGAGAAAGAGAGAGAAAGAGAGAGAGAGAGAGAGAGAGAGAGGGAGAGAGAGAGAAAAAGAGAGAGAGAGAGAGAGAGAGAGAGAGAGAGAGAGAGAGAGAGAGGCAAGGAGAAACAAAGAAAGAGATGAAGAAAGAGAAAAACAGGGAAAAATTATTCGGACATCGCATAATGGAAAAGTACGAAAGAAGGAAGGAAAAGAGGAATGTCGTCGCGGCCATCAGGCGCTCCCGCCCCCGCCCAATCAGAACTCACCTCTCTCCTTTGTGTGCTCCGGAGGTTCCTTATTTGAACTTGACTGTCGCGCGAGGAGTCGATGGTACCGGGTGTCCTGCGCTAATCCGGCCCCAGTGTCCGCAGTGTGTCCTCCGGACACTGGATGAGCTCGAACCGGACAGCTGTCTTCGCTGCCGCCCAGCCACTCATCTGACGCAGACGCCGCTCGGTCATTTAAAGGGATCCTCCCACCTTCAAAAAAGTTAATAATTGGCGTAAAATTGATGTACCGTGGTTCAAATAGAGCAAATATGAGTATCTACCTAATTTCACTGAAAAAAATATTCAGTGTTACTTTGAGATATCTGATTTTATTTTTTGGTCATTTTTTGGGGCCTTTGCTGTTCCTATGACGTCATTTGGAATCAATAATTTGGTATATTAAAAGTGCCAGAAATGTTACGCGCAAGGCAGATATACTACCACAGTCGGACGCTTGAGCCCAAGGAGGCTAGGCGCCCTAACCCAGCAAGTATAAATAAGTACTACCACAGCAACAATTGTCATTGTCATGGTCATTAATATAAGGCTTATCCACCATTCAGTGGCTATTGCGATCTATTATAGTCAGTTACATTAATAAAAAACACAGCATTCATTACACGACGTAATTGTCTTTTACCTACTAAGCTTTAGTAAAGGTTTAAAAATCGCTAGATCTGCCCCGACGTCAGAAAAGCAGAGGGAGCATTAAAATGCATTAGCCCCTCCAAATTCAAGTGCCGCAGACTATGAAATAAAATGTATCCGATTTCAGGCATTTCGCAATGTTCTGAATACCCAAACCGGTAATAGACGTGTTGCGCTATGCAAAAATGCCTCTTTTTTCGCACGTACTAGGTGCTATTTGATCTGAAAACTCCAGCGGTGAAAAAATCAGCTTGATTCATGAAGTTTAAATGCCTTAAAAATCGGTTTAAATGTCAATTATTATCACGTGACTAAATAACGAGCGTTGATTGGTCGTGACGTCACGATTCGTATCCAGCGAGCCCCGTGAAGGTTGGCTGCATTATGTTAGTGTTGGTCGGCGGACGAAGGTGAATCAGGGGCGTCGTTTTGTATAGGCCTGGTAGGGCCCGAGCCTTACCAATGTTTATTTGGGCCCTACCAATGTTCGCTGAGCCCTTCCAATCTTTTGTCACTTATCAGTTGATAAAAAATCAAAATAAACAGATAAGCAAATATTAAATAAGCACATATGCAAGTACATAAATCAGGTTCTAGCCACAGTAGGTGCATGTAGCTGACAATGAGGTTTCACGTGTCTAGGACTCCGGTCCTTAATGGATTTTAAGAGGCTCGAAAACGCAATTGGTTATAGAGGTCCATAACTGCCTCTGAGTCCCGCATACCACGCGACCGCCCCTAATAGACCCCGATCCGTCTCCACACCAGCCGCTGGAGGCCCTACACCGACTTCGGAAGGTGCCGCGGTGCTCCAGAATAGGCCATAGGTACATATATTGATTTGAGTGGGTGATGCAGTCTGATTCCTCAGGGTTCAACGCCAGGTCATTACCGCATCAGACCCCGAAAACTGAAGCTCGTAACTACGAGGGGCGTTCAAAAGTTTCGGGCCGAACAATGAAGGAGTTGGAATTTTGGCCTGCAAGGCGGTGTGTTAAATGATGTGTTATTGGGATGTCCACTTACGCAAATTAAGTAAGTGGCCATTAATTAAGTCTCTTCTGTGATTGATTCGGGCTTCTATTCGTAGCATAGTTCGCCATTTCGGATAGGATGGGCGACGCCCAGAAGAGAGCAGTGATTCGTTTCATAGTAGTTAGTGCAGAAAAGGCACCAAGCGTTAACCCTCGCCCTGGGCATTTTTCATAACACGGCCTGGCAGGGGGGAGGGGTCGATGCGACCCCCCTCCGCTCGTCAACTTTCCAAAACAGGGGCACACAATTGATGATGTGCGTCCATTCGATAAACATCGAGGAGAGGCTATAGGGAAGCTGACGTAAAGTGTGCACCTGATCCGCGACCACGCACCTGCGTACATACATGGGCGGGATGACGAACAGTGAAGCGATGAGCTTCGAGTTGTTGTCGCATCCACTTTTTTCTCTCCGAACCTTGCACACTCTGGTTAGTGGTTGCCACCTCTTCCCCAACATAAGAAAATTAGCAGCGCCAACCTCGCTAACAGCAGGGAGACGAAATCAGCCGTCTTGGACGTGCAGGATGGGTCCAAAACCCACTTGGTTATGGAGGCCTTGAGGGCTCTCGCGAAGCGCTGCGCGAAATGTGTTTGTCTTAACGGTGTTTATTTGAATAAATGAACTTTTTGGTCTAATGAGTCGATGCTGTATCTCTCTGCTCCTTCATGGTCGGGCCCGTAGCTTTCTGAACGCCCCTCGTACTGTCATCCTTTTATTTTGGCAAGCAGGTCTTTCTAACTATCGTTGTGTTTCCAGTCCTCGTTAGTTGTCGAACCCTTCAATTGGCGTGGGTCTTCAAAACCGTTCCTGGCCCCGCAGCCGTCTTTTTTAGTCGGCTTGGGCCCTCAAAGCTGTTCCTGTCCCCTTTCAGCACAGCCGTCCTTTTAAGTCGACGTGGGCCTCTTTCAGAATGGCGTGCATTCCTCCGACACTATTGCCTATATAACTGCACGTTTTGTGCATGGCGTCCGGTGTGGACCCAGATTTCCATAGTTTTTTTTTTTGTGTTTTTTTATATTTCGGTTAGTCTTGTCAATGACCAAGGCGAAAAATAAGTGGCCGAAATCCGATGAGAAAGGCAGATTTGGGGGTACCCTACCTTGTAAGCCCCGTCATATATGGCCAGCCGCCGCCTTTGGTTGGGCACTACCAATCATTTTCGGAAAACGACACCCCTGAGGTGAATCTTTGTGGAAGAAAGATGGAAAGCAAAATAAGTGGTGTATTACTCCAGGATGTACTAGTAGGTACTTCATCCTCAACACCTGATAAAGTGTTTGTTAACCCGCGCACCGACGGGGGTTCGCGCCAACTTACAGCCGACGGGGGGGGGGCGGATGACCACCACCCCCCTAAGATCTCGAGAACGAAGCAAGATAGCGACAAGCGGTAAACGGCATGGGGTACGCACGGACAAACTCTACAATTTTTACCAAAGTCATTTTCAGGTCAGGTCAAAGATGACGTCACAGGGGTCAAAAAAGTCAAAATGGCGGCGCTACACATGGATAGTTTTTCTCGAATAACTTTCGAATTAGGCAAGCTAGGAACAAACTAAGGGCACCATCGTGATCCTCTTGTCAATCGGCATCGAACCATATATATGTTGACCTCGAAAGGTCAAGGTCAAAGGTTGACCTCAGTTCACGTGACCTCGAGGTCATCATGTATATCATTCGATGCGCCTTAACGAGCTAAACACAATGAGACCATCCGCGCGGCTGTATCTCGTTTCTGTGAGAACTCATTGGAAGAAAACCTTTGGTGACCTTTGATGACGTCACATGACCTTACAGCTGCCCAACAGCAAAACAGGCCTCAAGGTAGTGAAGGTTGATCGTATATGAAGTCGTGTATGGTATATGGGGCCATTCCGAGGCGTTTTAGTGAGAAAAAACAGGAAGTTGATTTTTCCCCCATTGACTTATAATGGGTTGACTTAAAATAATATAACCAGTATAACGCCTTTTGGGGCGACTAACGGAGCGAGCGAGAGGGTGGGCCCTGCACGTGCAAACTTTCGAGGGGGTACCTCCAACTGACTTGTGCACGGCACCTTACTAACCGGTCTCTAGCGATGTGCCAAATTTGAGCACAATCGGCCCAGCCGTTCTCGAGATCTGGAAGCGGCACCCTGCACGTGCGCACGTGCAAAATGGGTCCCAACTGACTTGGGCACGGCACCCTACTAACTGGTCCCTAACCGTGTAGTGCCTAATGGATGCCTACCTACATGCCAACTTTCAGCGCAATCGGCCAAGTAGTTACCGAGATATTGCAACAATTACGAAACTGACACCTCTTCGTTTTGCACGTGGCACGTGCATAAGGGCCAAGGGGTCACCCACATGCATCGGGAATAGTCCAATACTTGATAGAAGGAATGAAGCTACCCTACAAAAATTACCGCGCGTAAATCGGTCAAGTGGTTGCTGAGATATAAGCCTCGCAAAAGCGTCCGCACGGCCGGCCGGCCGGCCTGTCGCTCACACTCAGAAATTTCCGTTAAAGGAAAAGGGCCACCTTTAACATGGGGATTGAAACTGAGATAGCCATCTTGTAGCCCGTGTCCGGAAACCTGTCTGTCTACCTCCTTACGGCCGATTTCGGCCTCCATTCGTAGTTATCGGCAATTTTAAAAGAAAATACGCCAGGAATGCGTCCTTATCCCAGGAATGCGTTCTTATCCGACAATACAGCCACCCGCGGCGAGGCTTTGGTTTTTTACCAATCAGCTCCAACCAGCTCAGCTTTAACCAATCAGCTTATCTGACACAATCCGACGAGTCTGTCTTCTGAACGCTGATTGGCTTGAGTGTGACGTCATCGCTATGCCATCATACAGTAGGTGCCGTAGAGAGTATCAACATAGTACCAATATGTTAAATAGTTTTAAATACTTATTCGCGAATTGTGCACTTCTGGCACCAGTTTTAAAAAGAAAATGAAAAATAATAATGTCAAAATGAAAAACAACGATATCTTCAATCTTCATATTTCACGAAGGTGGCCCTTTTCCTTTAAAGGGACTATCCCACCTTTAACATGGAGTTTGAGTTGAGATGGCCAAGTTTGCGGCGAGGTTCAGAAACCACTATCTATCTAGGTTGCAACCCCCGCGGCCTCTTATTGTTGAAGAAATTCGTTCCCTTCATTTGAAAATGGGTCTTGTGCAAGGCCCTATCTTCAACATGGAGGGACCGTTAGTGTGACGTCACCTCGTTTAGTCATTCTGATTTAAATGGGTTTGTTCGTTGAAAAATTGCTTAAAACTTGGTCTGAACTTTGTTGTGGTGCCTACAGAGTAAAAAGAATCAGCTTTATGACAGTAATGTGGCCTGGGGAAGGAGGTGATTTTGGGCTGTGACGTCACATATTTGAAAGTTTGTGTTTGGAATATGGGAAACCTAAGATGTTTAATGAAAAATAAATGCCAGAACTGTGTTCCTGGTCATCCAATCTATAAAGTCGGGCACAATTTAACTGGTTTTAACAACATTTTAGAAGGTGGGATAGTCCCTTTAATCTAAGGAAAGACTACGCTCGCTTCGCTCGCTCCGTAATAACACTTCAGTCAAGGCGACAACGTGGAACCAGCTGGCAGCTACCGAAGTACCGAGGACTTATGCGTGCGCGCGCGGCGCAGTTCGACGTACACAGCCGCACGCCAAAACGCCTCATCCCTCGCTAATAGCCCTCGACAGTACCTACATCTCGTCGTAGGTTATCAACACTTACGATCGTGACCTGCCTATTGGTTTCGAAGGACGGATCAGCCACACAGAACTAAGCCATTTTGCACTGCGCCTTCAGCATCAACTTAACTGGACCTGTGCCACATGTTTCTGCGCGTTGATCTTTCTATGTAGAATCATTGCTGTCGATGTATACGTACCTACTACCTACGCAGTGCTTTGTCAGACGAGGGACACTTCACCCCGACTATACTACCACTGGCAGTTACCTCGTCTGGCGAAGCACCGAACGCAGGATGTTCACCGCTGCTAAGAATGCAATGCTAGAGCTGGCGATCTTTTCGCCCAGATGCTTTTCTACTTCCCTTTGGCAGTGAGCCACCCCGTGCGCTTTGGACGCCGTAATGCGGCCAAATGGCACAGCGTGCCACAGAGGACACTTCCCCTGCCCCTTGGTCGCCTCACGCACTGCAGCACAGAGCCGGAGTCATCCTACTTCTACAGTAGTCTTGGAATCCATGTCACAGCTGTCAGCCCCCTCCGCACATCCTGCCAGTTGGGTGGGAAGAGGCTTTATGAGTAAGGCAGTTCCTACAATGCAAGGTTTAAACATGATAAAAACAGTTCAGCTCTCCCAGGAATGGATGAATATGTCGAAGTCACAATAAAGACGATGCAAATTGCGAATTACCACAGAGATTACTACGGCCCAATATGCGTCTTCAGTGCCGCCGTCCGGGAACGCTGCGCGCGCATACGAATCGTGACGTCACAGCCAGCATGGCCGTCGTTTTCGGTTGTCTGCTAATTGCGATTTTTATAAATGAAAATTAAACATGAAAACGTGCATGAAACTGAGTTTTTTCAATTCTTCGAATACGAAATCGCATATGAAGAATTCGTTTATGGTATTCTTGAAAATATAACAATCTGTCTATTGCGAGCCAGGGATCCCAATTAGGCTATCGCAACTCAAAACTAACATAAAGGTGGAATGGCCACTCTAACAGAAGAAATAATGCGATACGTCGAAGAGGGTCGCGAGGAAGAGAGGAGTGATTGTGGTTTTGATGCGTTGGAGAGGGATGGAGAGCAGGAAAAATGACGATCACTCGACACGTTAGAGAGGGGTTGAAGAGGCATTCAGAGACCTAAACAAAAGGACCTGGCAGAGGCAAACGCACACTTACATACTGAAGGATGTGACGGAGACGAAGCTTACACGTCAAGTGCGACGCGGCAGAATCGATACCCTCATTTCACCGAGGGACCTGGCTGAGACAAACCTACACCAGTAGCAGCGCGGAACACCTTCAATTAAGGGGGGGGGGGGGCGCACTGCCGACTTTTGGTCCCATTCTTTCCATGCAACGCCCATAGGGCTAATGTTAAAATGCCAAAATCAAGGGAGGCACGGTGCCCCCCCCCCGTTCCGCCGCCTATGACCTACACTCATTGATAAGACATTGATAAGACTTAGCACGGATACAAATCTACATCCCACACTCATCGAGAGATCTAAAGGAGACCAGCTCACACCGAGAGAGCCGACAAATCGACTTACCGAGGGACCTGGCGGAGACGGAGCTGCTCCTTCTACCGTCCTCTGACAATGATGTGGTCATGGCCGGCCGATAGCGGCGCCAGTCGCTCAGTCTGCAGCTCTGGGCGGTCATTGGACAAAGCTAGTGAACTTCACAACACAACACTGTCTAGAACCAGGAGCACTGCGGGTGTCCTTAGAGATAAGCCATTTATGCACAACTAGTCTTATCTATGACTCTGTCAGCAGGGGCGCGGGAACTACTTTCCGACTGGGGGGGCACACCATAATAGAGATTAACCTAGGGTACCCCCAAATCTAGGTTTCTCACCGGTTTTAGGCCACTTATTTTTCACCCCTCGGATTTTTCAACAAAAAAAGAAAACATTTGCAAAAAAAGTGTGGTATTCCGTCTCAAAGCTGTGGGGGCACCGCCCCCACGGCCCCAGAGTTGGGGGGGCAAGCTGCCCCCACTGCCCCCCGGCTCCCGCGCCTATGTCTGTCAGTAGCATAATATGACGCCACGAAATGATGCGATATGAAGAATACACATATCCAGAGCGAAGATCCGAGACAGCTTGCACCGGCGAACAGACTCGACAAGCCTTAGCTCTGACTTAGAACGGCTATCAGCTCTGATTCAGGACGGCTCTTAGCACTGATCCAGGACGACTCTTAGCACTGATCCAGGACGGCTCTCGGTTCTGATCCAGGACATGTCTCGGTCTGGTCCCAGGACGGTTCTAGGCCTGGTCCTTAGACAGATATTGACCTTGTCTTTGGGTACACCTTGGCCTGACTATTGGACGAGTCTCGGCCTGGTTCTTGGGCAGATCTTGGCCTGGTTCTTGGACGGGCCTCGGCCTGGCTCTTGGGTAGATCTCGGCGTTGTTCTTAAGCGTATCTTGGCGTCGTTCTTAGGCAGATCTTGGCCTGGTCCCGACCAGGTCTGGTCGCGCGGCGGCCCGGCGCCCTGCGGCACCTCGGCGGTGACTGGGGGTGGCGGCCGTCGGCCGCACGTGTGAAGAGGACGCACAGCTGGGGCGCCGGCTGTGGGCCGCGCCACACACCTGGCTCTATGGTTGGTCACGTCGGCCCGTCGGTGACTCAGAGCGCCGCTGCACAGCACACTGAAAACAATTTCACCCGAAGCTGGCGAATTAAGTGTTGCTCTACGGGTGGTATATGTGTATTAACTCGCCATGTCCAGATTCTAGCTAGAGGGTAAGCAGACTTGCCTGCCTTATTACTCGTAAATATGCACTGTACCCACAGTCTGCAGTAAGGTAGCTACCCAGCACCGGATATTGTCCCCGCGGGTGTCGAGTCATTGGCACAGCCCCCACTGATAGAGTTGGAACTACTCGAGGTATCGTAAACGCGTATCCGTGGATGGCGAACCTTTACATAACCTGCCCTGAAGGAGTTGGATCTACTGTTACAACTAGATGGCGTTGTCTCATACAGTTTTGAATTACAACAATTTTTTAACTTTTTTTTGAACCAATGATATATTGGCACATTGTTTGGCGGTTTTCAAGTGGGGGCAAAAGTACAATTGTTAGGGTGCATCTTTAAAACCTCTGCAATATTCATCACGGGACGATTGGCAACGCTTTTTCTTCCGAAACTACCAAGGGAAACCATTTTGATTCTTATATAGGTCACGAAAGCAGCGGCGTCATATCTTCTTGATTTCGGGCGGTCTGCATGACTGCCGGTGACTGAGTCATGTCGAAATTTCTATGGGAATTCGATTTGACCTTTCCCACCGATGTGAAACTTTCTCACCGATGTTTTCTAGGTGTGAGATTGCTATAATATAGATATTTTCCCGCAAATATGGTCAAGCGTGGGAGTTTTTTTGGCCCTCGTGACTTGGTCGGCGAAGGGTAGGCGTGGAGGGTAACCACATCTCCTAGGGGTTTGTGGGGCGCTGCTGCCAGGTAGGCGTCGATGAATACCTTTCGATGGAGGGGTCGCGAGCCACTGGTGCGCGAATAGTCGTGGAGGGTTACTACTCTCCAGAGTGAATTGCGAAAGTGTTATGTCCTAAATTGACTCCTGGGAGGGTGGTCAAAAATGGTTGCGGATAGGGGTACCCGCGAGGCACCGGTTTACTCGCCAGTTTTGGGTGAAATTGTTTTCAGTGCAGGACGACACAGAGCGGCGCCAGCGGCCGTCCACACACCCTATCACGCTTCATTGGGTTATGTAAACTGAGCGGCGCCGGGAAGATTATACGCCTGTGGTAGACACGGATCTAATGCAGGTTGTGTTACACAAACTTATCAGTTAACTCGATGCAAACCAAATAAAGCAATAAATCTCAATGTGAACTTGCGACCCTAAACAAGCATCCCTACATATTTCCCTCGATGCGTGGGGATCCAACGTTTAAACGAGTGTGAGGAAGAATAGTGCTAGAAAGTCCTATGCGTTTGTAATATCTTTTGAACACATACCTAAGCATATAAATACCGAAATCTCAAGAATCACCAATGTATCAGCATAAAACCATGATGACAAATAAAAATTTCGCAGTTATCTAAGGGTCAAAGTTGAAGAAGTGTAAGACGACGTTAGCTGCCGGCTGTCGGCTGTCGATCGCCACGTTTGCTGCCGGCCACCGTCCCTGACCAGCGACCGTAAGTCCAGTCGTTCTCCTGGCCGCTCTTCATTGGCCGATAACGCCGCGTACTTACCACGCTGCCCGAGGCCACGGGTCACGTAACCTAACCCAGCGACAAGGGTGGTGTTTCACCGATGAAAGCAGCACGCTGCTATCGCATTTCGCGAGCTGACGTCACACTTCTGGTGGTGTTGGAGCAGTGGGCTTGTTAATGTCTCCATGGAAACTCAATTTGACACGTGTAATACCTAGCAGCGTGCTGCTGTCATCGGCGAAACACCACCCTGGCTGCCCTTCCTTGGCCGGTAATGCGTACCACACGGCCCGAGGCCGCGGGTCACGTGACCTGACCCAGCGGAACCCCTCGCCGGGACTCGGATTGGAGCGACAGCACGAGCGCCGCCGCGAGTGTCAGTCCGGCGGAGCAGTGTGGCGCATGATTGAGTTGTGTTGCGTCTTGCGAGTGCAATGTGCAATAACCGCAGGCTGTTTAAAAGAGACGAACACCATTCGTTAGAGTTGTGTTTTTCTAGTGTACCTATTGTAGGTTACAAAGATGATTCAATACAAAGATGATTCCGAAGGTTGCAGCCGTACGTCTCAGAAACAAAAAAGCCTACAAAAAAAGCGGGAGTGGAAATCGAGTGTTATCTTTATTTGCTTGTTATAGCTTGTTTTCTTTACCTTTCAAACCGACGGCAGTCACAAATCACTGCTAACAGTAGCCACATGTAAGTACTAACATAAACGTCCTGCGGCGCGGACGCCTATCACACACCATGACAATGAGGAAAGCGGATGTGACTCGGCGGACCGAGCTATCAGAAAACTGGGATGTGGTGTGTAGCTAATGCAGCCCCGTCTCTGTCCCGACAATTACAAACCGAGGATATGGCAGCGGAAGCCACTATCTGAATCCGGTGGCTATGGTTCAGCGACGCTCAGTGGCGACTTTGGCAGTGAGGAGCCGGCCGGCCGGCCGTCTGTCCCGGCCCCAGGGTGGAGTGACCCGCAACTCGAGAGATTGTCACTACTGACTCCACGTCTCGAGGCGGAGCGACCCCGTGCACCGAGCCAGGACGGCCAGGCCCGACCTGTGCCCGTGGCAATGGGCGGAACCTCGCCTCCGATGGCCACAGCCCTGTCTCGGGCCAGGCCACTGCTGCTGCTTCTTCTGATATTCGCCTGGACGGGTATGTGAGTCTGAAAGTATAGGGCTGATAATTGCTCAGATGAATCGGGATGAATATGCACTATGCAGCGCATGAAACACGTGTGCTATCGGTTTAAAACATAAATGCATTCTTTCTTTTTCCTTTTCCAAGTTTTTTCTCTTTTTATTAAGTGCTTGGTTATGTCATTTAAATATTTTTGGGTAGTTTCATAGTCACAGGACGAGAGGATAAGGGATACTTTGTGCGGATGTAACCAGCGGCTGGTGATCCACCGGACAGCGCCTTGCTAAAGCTTTGATATAGCTTACATACTATCACGGCTTCGACTCCGAGGGAAATAAAAAAATGTTTCGGCTTCTCCAGCATGCAGTGTAAAATGTTTCAGATTCCAGCTCCGCCTCGGCATAGACTCGCTCTAATTTAAAAATAGTGAAACAATAACGATGCAAGCGCCAATACGATAAGACTCGCTCTAATTTGAAAATAGTGAAACAATAACGATGCAAGCGCCAATACGGCTATCGCGGGTCGGAAACTAATCCTTGTAAACCAACAAATGGGAACCGAAGCAATAAAAAGTGAAAGACAACGTTCAAAATGTCATCGGTTCACGATATATTTCGGTGTATTACCCCATTTTGATAATCTGAAATGGCTGTTTCATCGTCTTGTTTAATCTGTATCATTTTAATGCCAAATAATTTGTTTGAGCTAAAATACTGGGCTCTTAAACCTATTAGTGGCAGGGGGGGGGGGTTGTTTTTATCCACCCCTCAGGTTTTTCGGGAATATCTCCGAAACCGCTGAAGCTACGATGCTGAAATTTTCTGACTTTTCCTAAAACTAAATTGGGCACATTCCCTGAAAATTTCAAGTTCATAACTTTACCAGGGGCGGCTCCAGAGCACTGGGAATTGGGGGTCCTATTCGTGAAGCGAGTCATTTGGGCGAAGATCACGATGCTGCACCAGTTTTACGAACAGTGAATGAAAGGTATCATGTGATAACATATACAAAGTTATTGTGCATCCTCTTTTGACACGTTTTTGCTATAATAGGCGGATCCAGGCGTCCAAAAAGGGGGGTTATCTTTTACCTCCCAACATAGGTGCCCTGACACCGCCTATGCATGACCAATACAATTTTAGTCGTTCTCTCATAAGAAAATTGTAACATAACAAGACCATTGCCACCCTTTTTAGAAACAGTACCAACAAAAACCTTATTTACTATACTTTTTGTGTACCCCCAATCTCAATGATCTGTATCCGCCTATGATTTTTGAAAATGCATATTTTTAGGATCCATGTGAATTCCTGGTTCATTCTCTATCGATCGGCAAAAGTTGCGTTAAGATTGGTTCAGAAACCTGGCCGTGATAAACAGTCTAAAATGTATCTGCAATTTGCCCGTTTTTACCCCCTCTACCCCCCTATTGACATTTTTTAATTTTTTTTTTTAGAAATGTAGATCTCGTTGAGCCAAATCGAATGCCGTTTGAATTTTGAAAATCGGCCGGTTAGATCTCGAGATATCAAGGGGGTCGTAAACAGCCCCCCTGCCACTAATATGGGGTAGCCAGGAGCCTGCCACTAATAGGGTTAACCCGCGCACCGACGGGGAGGGGGCGGTCAACCACCCCCTGAGGTTTTTCCAGAATGGCGGAAAAACCGCGGCGCGAAGTGCCGCGAAATTTTGAATGCTTATTTTCTTATCAATTTTACACATGTGTGCAAGTTTCAACCTCCTATCTTTCAAGGTCAGGTCACCAGTTCACTTCGAATGGCCCAGCCTCAAACCACTTTTTTTTGCAATTTTGTCGCCGTGTCAGGGCTACAGTCAGTGGCGCAGCCGGGGGGGGGGGGTGAAAAGGGTGAGATCTCACCCCCGTCTCTTATCCTAGGGGCCCATCGTCGATTCGAACTGTAACGTTATGCAGCCTGACAACAATTTATTAATAAAAAAATATATTGTCAGGTTTCGTCATAGGACTGAAAAACAGTTTTCCGGCCTGATAGGCCCCCTTTTAGGATTTATAGTCCCATTATAAGTTTAAGAGGGTATAGCCAAGGCCCAAAAGAACCAATCCAAGGCCTAGGATGGCCCGTTCCAGGGCATGAGAGGGCCCATCTCAGGCTGAGAGGGCCCATTTCAGGCCTGAGGGGCCATTCCAAGCTTGAGAGGGCCCATTTCAGGCCTGAGAGGGCCCATTTCAGGCCTGAGAGGGCCCATTTCAGGCCTAAGAGAGGCCATTTCAGACCTGAGAGGGCCCAGTTGAGACATGAGAGGGACCATTTCCGGGCTAGGAGGGCCCATTTCAGGTCTGAGAAGGCCCATCTCAGGCCTGAGTGACAGGGTCCATTTCAGACCCTAGAAGGCCTGTTTGTGGCCTGGGGCCCCTTTCAAGCCGGAGAGGGGCCATTCAGGCCTAAGAGATTCCATTCCAGACCTGAGAGGACCCAGTTGTGGTATGAGAGGGCCGGCATCTTCGACATGATAGAGTCCATTTCCGGGCTGAGAGTGAGAGGGCCCATTGCAGGTCTGAGAACGCTCATTTTAGATTCGAGAGGAACCACTGCAGGCCTAATGGGCCCATTTCAGGCTTGATAGGGCCCATTTCAGGCCTGAGAGGGCCCATTTCAGGCCCTAGAGGACCTGTTCGAGGTCTAAGAGGGTCCATTTCAGGCCTGACAGGGCCATTACAGGTCTCAGAGGGCGCAGTCAGGCCTGAGAAGGCTCATCCCAGGCATGAGAGGAGTGAGGACCATCCTATGTGTGGGAGGGTCCGTGCCTGGTCTGGGTCTGAAAGGGCCCATCACAATCCTGATTGCGCTGATAATTGATACCATGCCTGATATGGTCAGGTCAGATCTGATCTGACCTGATAAAATGAGGCAAGTTTAGTTAAGATTACATGAGACAAGTTTTTTTTTTTAACTGACAAGTTTAAAATGAGACATTCATATTCAGTGATTATTCAAATGGCTTTGTGATTTTCCAAGAATTTTCGGGAAAACAGCAACTGTTTTCGTTCTTGGTAAGGGGGCCCAATTTGGTTAAGGGGGCCCGCTTTGCTAGGGAGCCCATCGCGAACGTCTTTCACCCCCCTCGCCAGAGTTCTGGCTGCGCCCCAGAGAGCATTGTGCAATAAATTGCAGCCAATGTTTACAGTCAAACGCAAAACAAATCACATCTACATGAGACAGAACAAACAAACCACACCTAAATATAAGAGTAAGTACACGTATCGGGTCATAGTGAGCGTCGTCCGCCTTGTCGCGGCGGTCCGCGGCGCTGAGTGCGGTCACCGCCGGATGGCTATCGGTGCACGCGTCACCCGGCCCGGGGATCACCCAACGGACCCCCGGCCGGACGCCGACCAAGCGACGTCGCTGTGCAGTACTGTGCGCCATACTGCGGGAAGGACCACTGATACCCCACCACAGCCTCCATATCCGTCCCCGACTGCTGCAGTCGGCTGCTCCAACTAGCGGGAGCAGAATGTAGTGTTCAGTTGACGTGCACAAATTTATTATAATTCGCTCCGAGTGCAACCGGTGATATTTCTCATGTTTTGACACATCGGGCATTGTGTGCATTGTAGGAATTGGTGACGTAGGTACAAATAAATAAAACATTTGCATGGCATCCTGACTGCGCTTCAGGAGCGCGCAGAACATCATAACAGGGACTATTAACCCGCGCGGGGCTGGGGGGGGGGGGGGTAAATTTTACCCCCCTCGCGAATTTTTGCGATATCTCAAAAACGGCGGCGCGCAGCGCCGCCAAACTTTTATTACCTTTTCGTACATCAATTTGACACGTTCCCTGAAAATTTGAGCGAAATCCGTCGGAAATTTTTTGAGAAAAAGACGTTTTAGTGACGTCATGTTCGCCATTTTCGCCTCAAAAACGGCAAAAGTTCAAACGCCGCTAACATGTTCATTTTTTCAGGAATCAAGACGTAACAAAAAAGGTTATACGTAATTTTACTTTGTCTATCAAATGGCCATCTCGGTTTTTTGAAAATTTTGGATTTTGGCCTACATTTTTTCAAAAAACTGACTTTTTTGGGAAAATCATTATAAAATCCAAAATTTTGAGTCTATCGAAAAAACCGAAATATATGTCAGAGAAGTGGTCTATGTGCACCTACATACCAAATTTTAGAAGAATCGGTTCAAAAATGTGGGAGTTATTCAAAATTTAATGACGTCACGACACACAAAATTTTTGAAAAATGACTTTTTTGGAAGTTCTAGACCTCGCACGGAAACAAAAATAGCACCATTCGATTCGCCGTGAAAAACTGCATCAGATAGACACCTTTTTAGGCCTTAACAACCAACTTCAAAATTTGACCTCACTTGACCTGACCTTGACCTGACCTCGACCTGAAATTCATCCAGAGGTGGCCCATATCACTTATTGAGTGTGCCTATTGAATTATATGAGTAAAATGACCCATAAAACATGTGTCGCACATGCCCTTTTCTATATTTTGTTTTTTGGTGACCTGACCTGACCTGACCTGACCTTGACCTTGACCTCTGAATGATATTGTATGCAACGAATATTGTCTTGGTAGCCTAAGAACACGTTTTGGGCGATCAGTCTCAGTCCATGACTCCATTCTTCGGCAACTACGGTGCAAGGCCGATACTGTAGAAACTTGCAATTTGTACCCTTGACCTGATCTTGACCTTGACCTCAAACTTTAAATTAAGTACATGTTTTTAGTAGTTCGTGATGAGAGCTTTCGATTGGCGTTTGAATTTTCGAAATCGGACCATTAGTTCGGGAGATAACAGGGGGGTAAAATTTACCCCCCCCCAGCCCCGCGCGTTCGGCTGGAGACCCCAGCCCCGCGCGGGTTAAGCAAGCAGGCGAGCGGTATAAGAAAAAAAGCAAAAGATTTACATCAAGATTCGAAAAATCTAAAAACACAAGTTTGTTCTGACAAACTATACCAAGCATGGTTAAAACTCTCCTCGCAAAAAATCTTTGATTGACATCACTAGCGTGAGGCCGGCCGGAATGACGGCTCAGTAGGGGTGGAGCGGTCTGACACTGATCATTTATTTCAGATACCGGACAATGTCAGCGGACAATAGGAATCATTCAGGACAGGTCATCATGTCAGCTGACACCTCTTGGATGGAACACAACGATCACCACCGGCACCGAAATCAGGTACTGTATGCCACTCCCATCGCCCTGAGGCACGGCGCCGCCGTATGACTATAACTTACTCGTACAATGGCAGCTTTGGACCAAACTATACAGTCGCTGTCACGGATTGTATGTTGACAGGGCCACATGTGACAGACAGTGCACAAGTGATGCAGTGGAAAGGAATCAAAACCCCTTTGATAGAAGTGTTCGAGGAACATATGTCTACAGCCTGGTAAGAAAGGGATGATTGTAATATAACCGTAAGAATATATTAGCCGTTTTCACTATGGGTTGTCTGGCGAATGCACTAAACTTGACCAAACCTGCACCAAATATCTTATAACAAATATTTTCCAGATTAAGAATTTATTTCAACCAAGTGTTTTATTCGAAAAAAACGTCTGATGTGAAAAACCAGGTATTTAAGAAGCTAGTACACCCCTAACCGATAACTTCTAAGAACCACAATGAACCTAATATGACCAAATCTGCATCACATCTGCACCAAACGTGTAACAAATGTTGCAGATAGCCGTCGTGAAAACGGCTATTGATAACCAAAATGATCTGCATATTTGCTTTTTTCGTGAAAAAAAAAAATCATGTTGAACAAGTTTGGATGACAAGGAGATAAATGTTTCATTATCTATGTCACGACACATGCACTCAGCCGGCCCATTTGGTGAGCTCAAAAACAAATTTGTCGTGAAAAGTTTGGATATTTTAAGTAAAAAATGTTGCCGTGAATATCGCTTGAATATTCAGGCCGAATTACAAATAGCTCTCACTGTTACTACAATGGTGGTGTTTTATGTCATGACTGACGTCACGAAGAAGGCGCCTTGCAAAATCGAATAATATTCATTTACAATGTTTCGACATAAGGTATAGTCTTTTGTTGTAGACTGACAACCAAATCCATAGAGATATACAACGGTTGGTAGGACGGTGTTGGCAGTGAGTGAAACATCGCTTTTGCAATGCAATGAGAAAAACACATGCATGATATATGCATGCGACCTCCCGCACACCGGCGCACCGGCACACATGCCAGTTTACCCCCCCCCCCCCCTTATGCCCCTTTCTACTTTCTCTAATTTTCTCTTATTCAGTTCTCAAAACATTTTCTGATTCCTCTATACCCCTATCACTGGCAAACTCTTGACACCTTTAACACTTTCATAAGAACTTGTATCTCAGTTCGGTCTTCATGTGTGTGAATTATGAGCGTGCACACTGCACAGTGCACACGCTGTTCCCTCGTGCTATGTAGCCGGTCCAATCGGACTGGCGCTGTGGACTGACCGTTGGTCCGCTGTGATCCGCAGGACTCTGACCTGTGTCTGGCCGCCATCCACGACGCTCGCCTGGCTTACCCGTCCCAATGGAGCCAAGAGTCCGCCAGAGTCCGTCTCAGAGTACTGCAGCACCAGGGTCCGTTCGTACCCAGCTTCCGGCGCGGCATCATCACACCACGTCCGGAAAGACTCAGCAGTGAAGAGAGATTGGGAGTAGAGTTCACCAGCAACAAAGTCTCTGGTGAGTTGCCATGCGAGAGGCGACGGTAAAGGTAGAAGGCGCATTCTCGGCCAAGCATTTTACGTAAGTTAAAAATTGGCACGATTACGAATATCATGACAGTTGCGTAAACGCCTTTAGGCATTTATGACGTATTTGATAACAAAATGAAACTCGTGTCAAAACTTACATATCTATGCCACGGATGGTCTCAGGTGTGACGTTATGTAGCTGAGCATCTTGATGGCAAGTGTCGTTTCTATGCTTACAATTGTTTTTTGTTAATTATTGTTTTGTTTAGTTGATAATGCTGGTTGAGCTGGTGTTGTTTGTTGTTATTTTGATTTATTTTAGACGCGCCCAATGACTGACACTTCTCTCGGCTCATTCGAACAGGGCGCCCATAATAGTTTTGCATCATGCAACCTGTACACTCGAATGGTAACCACGCGTCATTGTTTAATATATGAACATGGTCCCTAACTTTATTTTGACATTGCATGTCTATCCTTAAGTTGCTTTAAAACTTTCTCGATAGCAAATGAGACTCTTTTACACATCATCAAAATGTTCGAGAAGCAGTGTACTTGAAGAGTTCTTATCCTGACGTTTTTTTTTTTTAGAGCCTGTTCCGGAGATAGCTGTGGTCTTCGACACCTTCCGGTTCCGTGAGGGAGACCCACTGCAAACAGTACAGTGCCACGTTCCGATGTCAGTGAATTCGTCCGACTTCCAACTGTTCAGGCTTACCGGGTCTGTAATAAGATCAAAGGAAAAAAGGAAACATGAAAATGGTAAGTTAAAAATGTAGAAACAATGCCAACTCATCTGTCATCTCTTAGTGCCTAGCATGGTTGATGCCGATGGTGTCAACAAGAGTGCCGTTGTGATCAGCGCTGTATAATTGATATGTGTTTGTCATATACAGGGTGTCCCAAAAGTTTCTTTACACCTATTTTGTGATATTATTGGTCATTAATGTCACTTTGAGAACAGGGAGAAACATGATATTGCTATTGGCATGATGCTTAGTATGTCTCGTATTAGAGGGAACCCTTTTCACTGCGTCAGGCTATCTCAGAGACGGCCCTGACTGGTCAATCCCGCACCTATTTTTAACCCTCGCCCTGGCAGGGCATTTTTCATAACATAGGCAGGGGGGTCGATGCGACCCCCCCTCGCGATTGGCTCCTATGGCACCTAGAAACACCAAATTTAGTAGGTAGGTGGACCCCCTAGAGTTCTTGCCCCTGTGCAAATTTGGTTGGTCTAGGTCAATATTTAGGGGGGTTTTGGGGGGTATAAATTTAAAAATTTCGCTAAAAACAGGTCAAAAGTTTTTCGCTTATAACTTTTGATCTAATTACGATAGAGCAAACAGAAAAGCACCAGTGAACTCAGCACGTCAAGGCGCGTCGAATGATACACTTTTAACTTTTAAGCTTGCTTAAGTGTGCTTTAAGTTTTTTTTAATTTTTAAGTAAACTTTAATTAATCAATTAAGTTCAAGTTAACCAAATTGCATCATATCGCATATCATTCGATTCGGCTGATCACCAGGAACACAATGACACCATTTTTTAAGCTCTAGCGTCATTATGTGCCAAGTTATTGGCAAAAAACGTAATTTGACCTCAGTTGACCTCATTTGACCTGACCCATGGGTAAATACACCAAACAAAGAAGCATCAAGTGACCTGTTGTTAAGTACTGTGGTTTCAAAGCACAAAAGTGATAGAACGAAGCGGATGTCTCCAGTATTTCTCGAATTTAGCATTTTTCCATAGGCTTAACATTCATATTCATATTCACGTGTATTTGGGCAATCCCGAATAAGCTTCAGGCTATTCCTACCCATCGTCAACAGATTAAAAAGGGAATAAAAACAGGAGGACAAGCCTCACACACACGTCTCACACACTCTAAAATGCACTCACTCATCAGCCTCCGGACTTATCTCCGCAAAGGAGCTCGGCTCGCCCCAGCGTTTCTCCTAAGGTAACATTTCAACTGCCTTGAGAAGGGGGCACCTGGGAGGTGGCGAAGGTTTAGTGGTAGCGTGTTATAGAGGGCAGGTGCACGGATAGAAAAGCGGCGCCTCCCCATTTCAGTTCGGGATCGAGCGACAAAGAGGTCACTGTCCTGTCTTGTGGGTCGCTCGTGCACATCACCCACAGTCCGGAGCACACAGGCGAGCGAGTCTGGTTCGCCAGAACGTAGAACTTTGTGAGTGAGAGTGATTGTGTGGAACCTGCCTAGATCCGCAGCTGACAGCCAGCCAAGCCGTTGGTGTAAGTCTGATACATGGTCGTATTTTTTGCGGCCGAAAATGACTTTAGCGGCGAAGTTTAATATTTTTTGAATCCTAGACGTATTGAGCTGCGAGCCGTTACCGTACACTGCCAGGCAGTAGCGGATCTGAGACAGGACCAGAGCGTTTACTAGAGTGGCTAGAACACCGGCTGGCAGGCTGTGCCTCAGATGTGACAGACCAGTTAGGATTCCGAAACAGCGTTTACTGACGAGCGCGATATGCGAATTCCAACTTAAGGTGCGGTCGAAGACAAGTCCGAGATTTTTTACTTCTGAGCAAGGGACTAAGAGATGGTCGCGAAATTTTACACTGAATTGGGGAACGGTGCGCAAATTTTGTTTGCTTCCAAACATTACGACGTAATGACCTCTAACTGACCTCAGGTCAGTGACCTAAAAAAACCCGAAGTATATGTTATACAACTCGGTGAACTTAGCACATCCTGAAAGTTTGAAGGAAATCAGTCCAAAACTGTGAGTTGGACAGGTGCAGAAAGAAAATTGAAATTTGACCATGACCTTGTACCGTTTTTTTCTGACCTGGTGACCTGACCCAAAGTCACTGGGACCTGAAATTTTCAGGTCATATGAAAAAAGGTTGCTCCATAGGCTGTGCTAAATTTGGCGGCGCTGCACGCCGCCGTTTTTACGCTATCTTCGAAAAACCTTAGGGGGGGGGGGGGGTCCGATCGACCCCCCCCCTGCCAGGGCGAGGGTTAATCGCAGCATGAAGGTACCGAGGAAGGTCACAATAGGAGAAGTATGCTGACTTTATGGAGTTTGGTCAACTGGAGGTGGTAAGGGTCAGAGGCTAGTTGCAAAGACGTTTAATGTACATAGGGTGAATAGGTCAAAAACGCCCCCATTAAGCGCGAAACCTTCTGACACTCAACCCAACTCAGATTACTCAAACCTTTGGGCACCATCATGTAGCTCATTCTTTTTACTACGCTTTGAGACCAAGAAAAGACACTTGCGTGTGGTATTTAACCCCCAAAAAAGGTTTCCGCATACCCTTACAAAAGGGCGTTTTGCCCCACACCCTGGGTAATACGCCCACACCCATGTGCAAAGCGCCCCCACCCCATCCATCAACAGAAAATGATGAACATGGCAGAACTTGACGTCATTCTGACGTCATTTGTGGTCAACCTATCATAGCCTTTGGAATAACATGTTGTTGCAATGTATAAAATGGATGCCCGGAGGAGTCCTGAAAGTTTGGTGACGATATCTGCAGTCGTTTAGGATATATCAGCAAAAAAGGACAGGGAGAGGCCTTTTCGGCCCCGACCTACACGGCGCTACCCTGCACTCTCACCACCGTGCAAAACGCCCCCCTTTCAGAAAACTGGGGGCGTCTTGCCCCATGCATCGAGTAGGCGTCTTTCCCCATCCACTCCATTTCCGGTCAACAAAATATTGACAAAAAACGCGCCACTAACGCCGCCGCATAATAAATTCAACAGAATGACAATAAAACGCAGTTTTGAGTGATGTGCACAATAGCAAGTTTGGTGATATAAAGAGGGCATCAAAAGCTTAGGAATCTTCTGTAAAAACAACAAAAACAGCACCCAAAACCAACATCAGCACCTACCCACGCTGCTCCTCAAGACGCAGAACCGGAAATAGAGAACTACGTAAACAAGCAGCTGACTGTTCTGAAAGCCAGGATAAAACACCTATCCGTCGATAAGATCTACGATTTTTTTAGGGGAGGCGTTTAACCCAGGGGTGCGTTTTCCCCACAGTTACCCTACTCCGAATCACGGTTATTATTGGTGGAAACGACATTCTGCACAATTAAATTTGAAAAGAAAATGTCGGTCCGGCCGGCCATCTGTGGTTGTATGTAAATATCGTGAAAGTTGTTTGTTCGGAGGCTAAAGGCAAGCGGGGCTGCAGTGTGCGAAAATTTACAATGCGACTATCAGAGAAGGGATCACAAGTATGAAGGCTATATACATACAGATATTTATGATATTGATTGCTTTTGGAACCACATACATCGTCGCGTTTTTTCCCAAACCCCATATGCATTTGTTCTCCCGTGAATTTCCCACAAGTTGGATCGAAACTTTAAAAAAAGTTACAGTCACTCGGTTTTTCTCAAGTTTGTCTGTCGTGGCAGATCATGCAATGCCAGAACAAGCTTTCGAACGCACATAATTAATTAGAATCGGACGATTGGAAACTTTTTAAAAGGGATCTTTTGTGGTCCCCGGAAATTCACGGTCGAGAACAGATGCGGGACTTGGAAAAAAAACGTATCCATATGGCTCGATGAAAAAAAAACAGAACATCACCAGCATTTGCAGATTGCAGGCCCTGCAAAATCAGTAAAAGTGGACTTCCTGCGAATAAAAATGGGTAATTTGGAATGATGATTCAGCATTGAAATCATCATCATCATCATCGTTTATCAAGCATCGCTTAAGCAGCGACAAAGCATGTACATTGTACTTAGGTGTTGTTTTTATCCGCTGGGACTGAGAGCGTGAGATGATGTTTTTCGTACTCCAGCGTAGATGGGTAGCCATACGGCTTCCACGGTTGACAGTGATGACATCAGTCATCTTTTGCAAACTCGTTAAATATTTGGGCTGTCGTTACGCTGGAGTACGAAAAACATCATCTCACATGTACATTGTACATATAACACATCTCGAATTCGGTGATTGTCATGGCGCTAAAAGTCGTCGAGCGCGATGCTGCACTGGTAGGGTAGCGGTCGGCCCAGCGGCAACTACAGAGCGAAGGTCGAGCGGGGCGCCGGACGAGAGCGCTGAAGGCTGCAATGTCAGCGTGGGCACGTGAGCAGCCTCAGCAGTCGTCGGGAAGCCTGGCAGGTTCCTTGTAGAACCAGCCGAATGCTGTTCGTTAGGCCGCTCTCCATGCGTGGGGCCCGCACTCGCTCAGGGTCCACCGGACCGTCGGCAGCTAGCTCCATGACCGCTTGGAAGTCCATGCTGCACATGTTGTAGAGTTGGTGGAGGAATGAACCCTCCAAGTCGCTGGGGCACAGGACCAACTTCGCTAGGGAGGTAGTCATAGCCTGCTGCAGAAGATGTTGCGCTGCCATGTTGCCTGAAATATCACCATTAGGTAAACCTCGCCGGCACAGAAGGTTGATGCAACCCCCCTAAGTTTTTTTTTCGCAAATACTCGCGTAAAAAGCGGCCGATCGCGACGAAACTTTCAGTACCCTCGCGTTGATCAATTTTACACCAACCCTGAGAATTTCATGACCCTGACGCAAATGACCTTTGACATGTGACCTATTTTCCGAGACCATGTTTGGCCGGAATCGCGATTCGGCGTATGTCGGCTCGCATTAGCCGCGCGAATGCATTCTTTTCGTGGTTTCAAGCGTTCAACTATTTGATTTGATGCTGCTTTCATGTATTAGGGTGGATGTCAAGGTCACCTGAAGGTCAGGTCAGGCAGGGGTGGACAAATGTGCTGAGTTGGGGTAGCA